AGCACAGGTAAGCAGCCATGTGGCAGAATGTAGGTTAAAATAAATAGGTTATCTTAAGTTATGTTTCTAATCAGAGAAGAGCCTAGCTATATGGTCAAGGCATTTGTAAAACTATTTTGAGTCTTATTTCTGGGGAAAATATCTTGAGTCTGAGTCTTATTTCTGGGAGCATCGGGCTGGGAAGAAGAACTGGGCCCTAACCTCAACCATCTCCTCCTCTTTTTACTTCTTATATAACCTTCTTTAGATTAATAATTTCTAAAATTCACAGCCCCAACACTATTCTAGTTTTCCTCTCTGGCTACTTTACCCTTCACAATTTTCTTCCTTCAAAATTGATCTTACACTTAGTTCTTATCCTCACTAACCCTATCTTTTCAATATCAATCTAGTATTTAATTCTTTACTATGCACACTGTGCCTTTTAATAGTCAATTTAACGCTTAATTTTCTTTTTACCCATTATATTTCTCCTTCACGCATAATTTTATTAACTGAAATATGGGTATGTTCCATATAAGTTTTGGTTGTTTACTAACAGTTTTTGAAGTCTAAAAGGCCACTGTTATTTTAAATTTTTATTAAACTTGTTAACCAAAAATATTTATTTTATTATTTTAATCATGTATTTCTGTGGGTATGTGTATTGAGTGCAGGTGCTGGCAGAAGCTAGAGATGGGATTACTAGCAGAAGCTAGAGTAGTGATGGGAGATGGGATATCAGACAGTAGTGATCTGTCTGATATATCTGCTAGGAAGCTAACTCAGGTGCTCTGGAAGAGCAGTGAGTCTCTTAACTGCTGAGCCATCTTTTCAGCCCCCAGAGCCACCATTAGCTGTAGAGTGTGACAATTGCTTAGTGGTAATACCAAACACCTGTGCTTGCTCTCTCAGTTAATATCCTACTTGGAATACTATAACACTTATACCAGGCACTTGAACTCCTAGTGTTATTATTATTATTAATTATTTTTGAACTACTTAGATGAAATCTCAAATAATTTATAAGAGTATAAATATGTTCAAAGTTACAAACAGCTGAATGAAATAAGGAAAGTAATGCAAGATGTGAAAGAAAAATTCAACAAAGAGAAATACCAAAGAAACCCCAATCACAGATGCTAGAAATGTAAAACATAAAAGCTTGGTGGAAAATCTCACCAATAGAATGGATGAGGAGAGGACAAAATATCTGAGCTTGAAGGTGGAGGAACATGAACAATTAAAGAAGAACAAAAATAGCATAGCAACCAGTTTCCAAGATTTGTGGGGAAAGTTACTAATAAAGACACAGGGATTTAGGATGCCAAGATCAGAAAAGAATCTCCGTTCATTATGCTATAATTATGCACAAAATATACGGTGCAAAGGAAATATATTAAAAGTGGCACGAGAGAAACATGAAGTCACTTTATAAGACAGGAGGACCTGGACAGAAGAGGCTCAAGATGTGAAAGACACCTGCTGATGAAGATCAGCAAAGCTATTATGATTGAAGGAAAAAAGTTTCCATGATAATCAATTAATGATCGCTGTGCTTGCTTATGGAAAATAGTTGAAGAAATCTTTCAGAATGAAGAGACAAGCAAATCTGGCTACAAGGCAGGTCCCAGGAAAGAATAAACTACACTAGAATAACAGTAAACTGATAATCATGGGCTTTCCACACGCACCCCAGTTCCAGAATAACAACTTGGAGGCTTGTTTATGTAGGAATAAACGCCTAGGCCATCTGCTTAGCTTGTTTTCTGAGTAGCTAATAACTTATTTGTCCCATTAAAATGCTTCTATTTCTAATGCAAGGCTAGTTATCTCTTCTCAGTTTCATGTGTCCCATTTCCTCAGAATCCAGGTGGCAAATCTCTTCCCATGCCTAACTATCTCCTAGAGTCCCTCTCTTTCTGTTTGATGTCCCACCTTCTAATCCTGTCTCAGATCATTGACCATTAGATTTTTTATTGACAGGTGACACTTCCACACAGTACACAAGAGATTTTGTCTATAGTAAGGAAGAGAAGAAGAAAACAAACACTAAAAAGAAAAATCAAAAGATTCATCAAATTCCAGAACAAATTCATCAGTCATACACCATGACCAAATTGGTTTAATTCCAGGGATACGAGATTGGTTCAAAAAATACAAATAACTAAATGTAAGTTAGTGTACTATATAAATAGACTTAAGGACAGAAAGCATCCTATTGTCTAAATGCATACAAAAAAACTGACCAAGTGCAACCTACTCTTATGATAAAGATCTTGAAAAAATATAGGAAACATATCTGAACATAAAATAAAGAGCATACATAACAGACCTATATCCACTAAATGGGGAAGAACTTAGAGTATTTCTGATAAATCTGGAATGAGACTAAATTTCCACTCATTCAAGTCTTATAGTACTTGAAGTATTATAGTGTTTTAAGTCTTACCTAGAGCAAGAAGAGAGAAAGAAAGAAAGGGGATATAACTAGGAAAAGGGAATTCAAATAGTCTGTTTTTACAGATGATGAGATGTACACTTACCCTGAAGGAATTCTTCAGAAAGTCCTTAGGACTGCTAAACATGTTTTAAAAAATAGCAGGATATAAAAACCACAAAAATGATGGGTTAGAACACACACAGAACACACACACACACACACACACAGGAAATGAAACCAGGAAAAGAAAAAAATTAGCTTCAAAATGATAAAATACCCACGAAACAATGAAAATTTGAAGATATCGAAGAAATCTTGAAGAAGATGCTAAAAGTTGGAAAGGTCTCCAAACACTCAAATTTTAACAGAATATTGTAGAATGGTTTATTACCAAAAAATGAACTACAAATTAAACACAATCCCTATCAAAATAATAGTTTTTACAGAACTAGGAAAAAACAACAAAGCATTTCAGAACACAAAAGACCAAAATAATCAAAACAATGCTAATCCAAAAAGGCAGTTCTAGAGGAGGAACAGATCTTATTTCAGATTATAGTTCAGTGCCAAAGCAACACACAACAGAGCACTGACCCTAACACAGACACATGATCGAGGCAATACATGGAAGATCCAAACCCACAACTACAGCAATGAAATTTAGACAAAGATATATAAAAATCACAATGTTGGAGAAGAGGTGTTTTTTCAACAAATGATGCAAGGGAAAGTAGTTATCTACATGTACAAGGATAAACTACATCCTCTGTACAGAAATCAATTCAAAATGCACTAGAAATCTTAGGTAATATCTAAAATCCTGAAACTGTTAAGGAAAACATTTTAAGATAAAGACATCAGCAAGGGTTTTTGAAAAGGACTCTACTAGCTAAGGAAATAATTCCAAGAACTGCTAGGTGGAATTGCACTAAGCTAAGAAGTTTCTGTAATACAAAAGAAACAAATCAGCCAAGTCAAGAGATAGCCTACAGAGCAGGAGGAAGACTTTCTCAACTATACTGCTGACTAGAGTTAATATCTAGCATCTATAAAGAACTCAAAAGGCTAAGCACCCCAAACAAAGCAAGAACACTTTAAATTAAAACCCCAAATCATCCAAGCAAAAGAAGGGCATAAATTGAACACATGATTCTCATAGAAGAAATACAAATGGCCAATAGATATTCTAAGAAAGTGTTCAACACCCTTACCTGTTAGGAAAATTAAAATGAAAACTGCCTGGAGATACTATCTCACTCTAGTCTGAATGCCTGTTATGAAGAAAATAAATGAGAACAAATGCTCACCCCATACCTAGGCTCTTGTGAACAGTGCAGCAATTGATGTGACCTGTGAGTGTCTCTATGGTAAGGTGGTTCTTACTTTGCTTCCTTGAGCTGTCTAAGAATGAGATGGCTATGGTAGGTCTGTGTTATGTTTTTGAGAAACCTCTAGAATCATTTCCATAGAGGCCTCATTAGTTTAAGTCCCCACTAATGGTTCATTAGACTCCCTCTTTCCCCATTTCCTTGCTAGCACTTGTTATTTATTATGCAGAAGTTGATTTTCTCCTTCCACTATGTGGGTTCTCAGGGTTGAATTCAGGTCATCAGAATTGGCTGCAAGCACCTTAACCTCCTGAGCCATATTGCCAGCCCTGAATTTTTAATTCTATTAGTTATTATCATTTCTCCCTTCCTTTTTGTCCCTTCAGATAACCGTGACTCCCCAGTTTTCAAGTTGGTAACCTCTTCTTTTATTTTTGCTTACGTATGTATGTATGTATGTATGTATGTATGTATGTACAATATAACACAATATAATACAATATAAATACAACCTACTGAATTTGTTTTTTGTTGTTTGTACATATACTCAGGGCTGAATAAATAAGAGGGCTCATCTTTGGGAGAGGTTATTTCTCCCATTCACAGAGGTCATTAGCTGCCTATAATCTTTGTCTAGGTGTGAAACCTGTGTTAGCTTTGTTCCATTCCACATATGTGTGTCTATTGATATTGCCATTATTCCTGTCTTATTTGTTCAGCCATTTCTAGGGGAGATTTTCTCACAAAACTGTGCTAATATTCTTGCTCTTAGAATCTTTTTACCCTGTCTTCCAGAACTTTCCTTGAACCACAACTGCAGGAGCTGTGATGCAGATGTATCTGCTGGGGCTGGCTTCTCCATCCTTGACTTCTGCACTGTATCAAGTTGTGGTTTCCCATTGTGGTCTCCACTTGCTGTAAAGAGGAGTGGTAGCTACTTAATCTATGGGTATAAGGGTAAGATTTAGAACACAGTAAGGAAATGTACTAGTCTAGCCAAGTTGTGGCAGTACGTACATTTTCCTAAGGTCTATGGCCTCCCTAGCCCCAGGAAGGTGGCTAGGTTTCCATTTTCAGGTATAATTTTCCTCCTGTTTTTAGGTGTTAAGGTCAGTTACATAGCTATTGGTTGTCATCAACATTTGGGTGCCACTTACTGTACCTTTTTAAATGAAATAAGAACATTTCTATTCCTGTGCTGGGAATTAAGCCCAGAGGGTTATGCATCCTAGAAGGGCTGGCTCTAACTCATGCTTCCTTTGGCAGCACATGTACAAAAATTGGAACGATAAAGAGAACACTAGCATGGCCCCTACACAAGAATAATATGCAAATTCATGAAGTGGTCCATATTTTTTCTAACAATATTTTTATTGATTATTTGAGAATTTTATATAATGCCCCTGATCATACTTGTTCCCCATTCTTCCCAGGTCCACCTCCTACTCTTGTAACTGCCCTCCCCCCAAATACACTAAGTCTAATTAGCGTTGCTTGTATACTCTTTGGAGCATGGTCAAACTCCCAGTGGCCAGCCCTTAACTGAGTCCATCCCCATCCCTCCCACCCCATCTCGGCCAGAAGCCATCAACTGTGAAGTGCTACACTTCAGCATGTTTATCACAAATTTTAAGGACTCTCTTCAATGGGTTCCTGTCTGGATTGCCCTCCTCCTTTTTGGTGGGGGAGAGATTGCCACAGAAACCTTCAATGACTCTCATTCTCAATTTTGAGTCTGCAGTCATTGTTATCACTGTGGAAGAAGTATCCCAGCCTATAACAACCAGCAGCCGCAAGGATCACCAACATCAAAATGGCTTCTGGCAGTAGCACAGAGTACAGACACCAACATGTCCTCTGGAGGCAACAGAGACTATGGTGGTCTTTCTAGGAGGCTTAATCCAGAAAATGAACCTTTTGTCAACTCCTGTGCATATCTTGGTTTTGCTCAGAGCCAGGATGATCATGTGATTGAGCAGCCTGTTGTTGGACTTGGGGGCAGAGCCCACGTGAGTTCTAGGCTACACACCTCCCTGCTGGTTCTACTTGGCATGGAAAGGTCTGAAAATCACTGAAGGAAGACCCAGACTCAGATAGTATGCAAAGACAAAGAACATTTATTCTGCAGAAACATCTAGCATTCGGGGGTCAACCATTCTCCAAAATGGCGATGACCCCAGACAAAAAGGCATGCAGGACTTCTTATAGGGAACTGAGGGAACTCTCTAGAAGATTAGGTAATCTAAAATTTCATTGGTGGGTGCTAGGGGAGCACAGGTGGTCAGAGGTCTGCATTCTTATGTCATGAACAGCTGGCCCATTCTGAAATAATTTTTGTGGTTATCTCCAGCCTATTGTTTGGGAGTGGGGTGGGAAGGTTATGACATTATTACTGGATTTTATGGTCTGTTCTGAGAGGTAGTGCCTTATGGCCTAGTTTCTGGGACATATGGTCTGTTTATGGAGCTGGTGACTTACAGCCTCCCCCCTCCCACCCCCTGAAATTAGCGTTGGTCCTTAAATGGAGACGAATTGGGTTTATGTTGTCCTTTCAGACAATGACAAGCTCATTTGTCCACCTCACTTGTACCCCCATACCTGTTTCTGATGCCACCAAGTCTCCACCTTGGTGAGACTTCTACCTCTCTCCAGCACACATGCCATTCGTTCAGCCATCTTTCCTACCTCTCCATCAAACATTCATCCATCAAAGTGGCATTACAAATTTCTGGGTCACACAGTGTATATTTTTCTGCCCAAACAGCTTTCCATGCAAATACTTACTTCAAAGAGTCATTGGTCTGGTTCAATGAGGTTCATGGTTTCTAAAGTGCCATAAATACTGGGTTATTGCTGAGACTCATCTGGAATGCCTTGCTGTTGTGCAGGGTTAGGGTCATCTTGTGGCTGGGCAGAGGGTTGGGAGGCAGGATCCGCATGAGCTCCAGGCTACTGCATATCTTCTTTTCCCTTGGAGCCAACCGCCTCTGCCCGCTCACTGGGTATGCAGGCATCACTTCGGACCTGAGCTGTTGTCCCCCATGCAGGGTGAGCTCTGTCAGCTGCAGTAGCGGTGACCGTGTCTCTAGTTCCCCTTCTGGGCTGAGTGGGCTGCTCCACTCTGCTATCTCCCCCACCCCTGATTTTGTGAGACCACTTCTAAAAGCATTTTCTCATATGACCTGCCCCTTTTTAGTTCTTCTGGAGCTATTGAGTGCTCTGCAGACTTGTCTCCCCTCAAAGCCTCTTTAGGTCTCTTGGGCTCCACAGAGGGGGCTGCTCTGTCCTGCAGAGGCTGGCAGCTACCGCCATTTTGAATTCAAGATCCTTTATGCACATCTCACTGACTGGTAATTGTCATAGGTTAAAGATATCTCAATTGGGCAGGAATGATTAATTGCCTCCCTTCCTTGGCAACTTGCAGGTATTTTCTAGTACCATGAATATTAGACCACAGGAAAGAGACTTTCAGGTGTTTAATCGGTGTATATGTATGCCATATATGTACTGGTGTGTGTATATGTGGAGGCAGAAGAGAGTGTTGGATCACTGGAGGTGGTGCTTCAAGGACATGCTGTTACAAGTGGTTGTAAGCTACCTGACATAGGTGCTGGGACAGAACTCAAGCAAAAATAGCAAATGGTCCTAACTACTGAACCATCCCAGTGCTCCCCCGGTATTTATTTCTTACCATTTTTTTCAATATTTTAAATAAGCAACATATTTATATGTTAATAGGTACACATTGTAAAATATGTTCTGATATTCCTTTCCCCATTCCACCTCATTTCTACTCCTCATCTGTCCTTGGCATATCTTTCTAAAAATATTTTAATTAGATTAATTAATTAATTGTGTATGTGTCTCTATGTATGCACACATGGGAATAGGCTTGGATTTTTCAAAACCTTCTTTTAATAAGGGTTCTTAAATGCTTTAATGCCCCTTCTAGCCCATCACTCATGAGAGGTAGTAGAAAGGAAAGGTTAATAGAGCAGAGGAGAATGTGGATCTGTTTAGAATTAGTTCTTTGGAGCAAATGCAGTCTGCATTGTTGGGATATCAGCAGTTCAGGTAACACAAATCAGCAGTGGCAGCTCGAGCCACTAGAAAACATCACTCATGAATCAGTAATGACAGGTGGAGCCAGAAGAAAACACAAGGCTATGCCAATCAGCAGAGGGCAAGTAGCTGCCAGAACACCATGAGAAGGTTCTTGGTGTGTTTCTCTCTATAGAGTCATCACAAACCATGACCAACAAAGAATGGCAAGGCATACCAATACCACCTAGTGTCTTCAGTGAAGACCAGCATCAGCAAAGCCCAATGATAACCAGTAAAGAATGGCATACTAACACCATCCAGCATTGTCCACTGTCCACTGGACTATATTTATATCCTTTCCAAACATCATGTGTTCTCTCAAGCATCTGCTCTAGCAAAACATCATATGCCCTTTTTCCAGGCTGCCTCCAAAAAAATACCACGTGTCTGTTCTTAGTAAACCATCCTCCCATGTGTCTGCTTCAGCAAAAACATCCTCTCATAAGACAGTTTCCAGAGAAACATCACATGACAAAACCTTGTCTCCAAAGAAGCCAGCAATTTCCACTTCATGTGAGTATACTCATGTGGAGGTCAGAGGACAACTCATAGTTGTTCTCTCCTTCTACCATGTGGGTTTTGGGATCAAGCTCTGTCCTTCAGTCTCAATGGTGAGCATCTTTATCTGATTAGCCATGTAACTGGCACTTTTGCTTTATTTAAAGACTGTTTTTAGGAGACTTTTAGTTGGGTTTGAATCCATTGCATATTTTACAATATGGAACCATTCACTGTCCAGCCTAATAATTTATGAAACCTTAGAAGAGGGGCTAAGCTCTCTCTCTTCCAGCCGAGCAAGTTGCCCAAAGGAAAGAAGGCCAAGGGGAAGAAGGTGGCCCCAGACCCCACTGTCAAGAAACAGGAAGGCAAGAAGGTGGTCAATCCTTTGTTTGAGAAAAGGGGCAGGACATCCAACCCAAAAGAGATCTAACATGCTTTGTCAAATGGCCCCCTACATCAGACTGCAGCGGCAAAGAGCCATCCTCTATAAGCAACTCAAAGTACCTCCTGCTATTAACCAGTTTGCCCAGGCCCTGGACAGGCAAACAGCTACTCAGCTGCTTAAGCTTGCCCACAAGTACACGCCAGAGACAAAGCAAGAGAAGAAGCAAAGGCTACTGGCCCATGCTGAGAAGAAAGCTGCTGGCAAAGGGGACGTCCCAACTAAGAGACCATCTCCGAGCAGGAGTCAATACAGTCACCACCTTGGTGGAGAACAAGAAGGCTCAGCTTGTGGTGATTGCCCATGACATAAACCCCATTGAGCTAGTGTTTTTTTCTGCCTGCCCTGTGTCAAAAGATAGGGGTGGCTTACTTCATCATCAAGAGAAAGGCCAGTCTGGGGCACCTGGTCCACAGGAATACACGCACCACTGTTGCCTTCACACAGGTTAACTCGGAAGACAAGGGTGTTCTGGCTAACCTGATGAAAGCTATTAGGACCAATTATAACTACAGATATGACGAGATC